CAACCCATTGTGGTTACCTGGCCGACCTGTTGCCTGAATCAGGATCGCTCCAAAGTACTATGTCCTACAATTACACAGCTACTTATATTATGCGTGTCATTTTCATCCCTTATTTGCGAACCTTCTGCCCCGTCAGAGTGTGCATACGTTATCGGATTGACGAACACTGATAAAACGGCGTAGCTGTAGAGAGATTTATACTTACTTATCACGGCAATACGATAACTATTACAATGCCCGCTTACGAAGCGATATCTACAGCAGAAACACGACACGCGCAACGTCCTTTGCAAGCCCTGCTGTTCGATCAGTCCTTGCAAACTAATAAAAAGCAGCGAAAAGACATTCAACGGCATATATATATATATATATATATATATATTCGTTTTTTGCCGCGCATCAGCGAGACGGCGCGTAATTGTGTAGTTGATGTTGTTATTGTTGAGGTACTGGGGCGCTTTACTATTCCTGTTAATAAAGTTGGTTTACCATGCTACTTGCCGGGCGATTTACCCTCGTGGCCGCACTGCATGCTATACACAGGGACCGTATAGGACAGGACGAACAGATCATTTGGTCCCATTGGACGAATGCTACCGTCACCGTCACGAGCGACTACGGCATAGGCAGCAGCAGCAGCAACAGCACGACCAGGAACGTCGGCTATTGACGTACCACACGACAACGTTAGTAGCGATAAGTCCAACAAAAAACATCAACACGTTCCGAGCAGCAGCAGCAGCAGCAGCAGCAGCCGCCGCGGCAGCAGCAGCGACAAATGGAAAGAAGCGGAAAAGGACCCGCTGCTTTTTTATCGTTCACTTTCATTCCGCCGCCGTCGTTGCTTGTAGTCCTTTGGACAGCTGATGTTCGTTGTAGTTGTTCTTTGTCTTCTTCATTTTCGTCTTCGGCTTCAATTCGACTCCTCATCATTCGATGGACGCCGATGGACATCAGAGCTGCCAGCAGCAACGGCGGCGGCGGCGGCAGCTTGCAACACCCTGACGTCGTTGTCGTCGTCGACGACGCCACTGTTTTCGCGCCACGTGTACAGACTTGCGCTGGTGTAACGGCCCAGCTCGTGCCACATCGTGGTGTGGCTGTCAGGCGGCTTGATATCACTTTATAGCTGTTCGATTTCGATCCGATGTGTTGGTTGTTTTTGGTCAACGTCCATGTCCGAACGGTACGGTTTACATATTCGTATGTGACTTACCGTGCCTGTATTAATGTTACACACACACACACACACAACTGGACGGGCAACGTTTCTATTCGATAAGATCCTTATCATTCGATAACATCGATGCCGCTCTAGATGTTTCATTCGACGAAGAAGATTGCGTAAAGTACGGCGTGGCGGTGCTAACGTATCGTCCGTTGATGATTAAGACGACTGAAAATAGCCGTCATTAGGTTGAGATACAACAAAGATCAATAACCTATTATAAATACAGGAGGAACAGCCCACACCCGTGCTGCAACGGCACCAGTAGCAGCATCAGTCAACCTCATCATCATTGGGCAGGTGGAGCTTCGCGATGGCTGATTGGCTTCGGTTGTCGCCACCCGCGCTAGATGACTTCGCTTCGGTATATGACTACGAGGCTATGGTGGCTAGTCTGAGTCATACACATGCATCTATCTATCTTGTACGTTATTATCAAATCGTGTGAGAATGTACGCGGCCGCTTAAGTCGACCATACACCCATCATTTGTGATTACAGCTGACAATGCGATGATGAGCTTGCTTGTAATGTACTGATTTGTACTAGAACAACAAATACTGCTGGTACAGCCAATAGTGCTTGCGTGCTTTCATGATCGTGCATGTACGCCATGCAAGTGTGCTGCACTCGAACCCTCCGTTACCGTCCCAGAGAACGTTGGCCAGGGAAATCGTCATAGACGATCTGAACAGAAGAGGCAGCACCATTAGCCACAACAACTACTGGTCGAGTTGAATGCAGTGTCTTTGATGCAGTGTCTTCTTGCTTTTCCTGGTGCGGAGAAGCGGCAATACGAATATCTAGTCACTTTACGGAGCCTGAGCCATCGTTAACGTTAGTCGTTCGTACGTTATTCGGTTCCACGGCCGCAGAGTCGTTCATCTGGCGTGGACTGCTTTGTGTACAAAACGATATGTAGCCCATCTACGTACTGCAGTGGGAGCCTGCCGCTCGAAACGTTGATACGTGGTCGAGGGATAGGACGAGTTGGGCTTCGTTAGTTGTCGACAGGGACGCTTTAAGGAAACTCGCCCCCGCGGTTCCCACAGGTGCGTACAGGTTTGCTACGCTTTTGTCCTGCTTAGGCCTCAAACCGCCTCAAGGCTACTGCTGCCTTTGCTGCTTCTGATAGTCTGTTATATATGCTACAGTCGAACGAGCAAGTCACGCAACGGCATCTTAGTCGTCCGAGACGTACTCGTAGTAGTGACGGTAGTCGTCAGGGTGGAATCTTTACTTCATTTCACTCTACATCCCGAACCCGTCCCCGCTCCTAGGAAATTTCGAAAGAATAACGGAGTAAGGATCCACGAACGAGTGCTTACAGCCTTCAACGACAAAAACGAAGTAAAGTCCGTCAACGGAGAACCGCCAACGCGGCTCTCTGCGGTCCAGCGGAAGCGATGTACGTTGGAATCGGGTGTCTGTAAAGCTAATGGGGGCGGCGACTGTAGCTAAGATGCCTTCGGCAGTCTTCTCATACCGAGAGCGGAGTAAGGGCAGGAAATCCGAATAAAATGACTGCATTTGAATGAGTAATACCTTGTTGCTTTACCAGGAGCACTTGTGTTTGCCGTTGAGCGTGGCGAACGATAAGAATGACCCGCCTGAATGTACGATTGCATCTGGGAATTAGCTAAATCGGAATAATGCGACGAGCGCGACATGGCTTCATCACTTTGAAACCTTCTCTGGGTACAAACGAACGCATGCGGTCCCAGAATGGCTAGCGCTGGAGCTGCGGGTTAAATCCTGTCATCATACATCCAATATTTTGTGTAGTATATTGGCGTATACCAAGAGGAACTAGCTGGGCCGGAGCAACTCAAGAACCATCCCCTATCGAGATCTAGCAATTAGTCTACATAGATCTAGAATCGATTGATGAACAACGTCAGTAACCAGTGTGCGATCGGATGACGCTTATCTGTTGATTTCAACAGCTGGAGAGATGTCCCGCGCGGTCTGGTTTGCACCAGCAGCAGCAGGCAGCGGAGTTTCACAACGTTGACGTTGGACTATGTTTTTGGAGAGAAGCAGTTAGAAATCGATCGAGCGGTAGGCGCCGCTTGACTCGGTCGAGATTGACTCTCAAAGCTGCAGATCTAAGTGATCTAGTCTCGTTGGCCAGAGCCTTAACCGAAGCAGCGATCCTTGACGGATTAGGCTTCGTTGAGAGTGTACGGTTAGGTCTATAGCTTTACCAGCGATTCAACACAGCAGGCACGGGTATGCGTGTCAGGCAGTATTTTTACATGTCAATAAAGCGAACAGAAAAAGTGACAGTCATAGAAAATGAAATGCCGACTCTTTGTCCAGAAGCATTTTAAAGGTCTAGCATTGTTATCTATAAAGTAGCTCTCAGACGTCGATACGCCGGCGTCAAATCAATGACAGCAGACAACTCTAATTCGCCCTACACTGTTAGTAGATTTGGTAACTTGGCGTTGTACGCTCTGGGGGTGATTCTTTCACGATATGATGGTTGTGCTGTTGGAGGATCGTGTCGGGTCATGGCGAGGGTGACGGCAAACGGGTACGGTGCGTGACCCATTTAAGCATCAGCGTCTTTGAACTGTGAGTTGGTAGCGAATTGACGGTATTATCAATAGAACAGCGGTAGCTGCCACGAACACTCGTACTCAATCTCATGTGCTACACACTGGCGGGGTCAGTGGCTTGTGGAAAAGGTGCACTGTATTTATAGCTGTCTCTGTCACTGCTACTGTGTTCGCGCTCAATGAACGTCGGCCTCTCGTCGCGTCGCTCGCTTCATCGGCAGACTAGCCTATGATGACTGGCTGGTCTCCACCGCAAATACACTAACGCTAGAGGTGAGGGGCGTTCAGGACGAATGCCGCTACGAATCGCTCGATTGGGATGTAGGCGATTGCCGAAGGGGCCACCTTCGGTAGCGCCAATTCTCAGTGCACATCAACATATAGAACGAAAACCGTCATTGACTTCTCCCACATCCCTCTACTACACTCATTACAAATGTCCCGTATGATCATTTGTGGCTTCGTACAAACATGCAGCGGTTGAGGCAGGCTCTGATTCACTGGCCTCGGCAGCTTCCAGCAGAGGTCAATTAAGTAAGTACTGAGCCGTATTAGCAACCGAAGACACACGCATGTGTACGCTAAAATGATGAAATCCTTTGTTAAATCTAAAACGTTGATATCGTATATCATATGTTTATATCAACAAAAAATCAAGTACACAAAACATGATGAAGTTGCACTTGAACGCGTGCTGGAAAGCTTGCTTTTCGTCCAGAGCTTCGCGAGTAACGATAAGAACTGCTGGCGAAGGTGACCTAATCGCCGTATACGATTAAGAAACGGCTCCATCACACGTTTTTATATTATAAATGAGGCAGCTGGGGGCTACTGGCCTTAATGCCATCCTGTTTAACAAAATTCTTGACAAACGCTATGTTTATATTGAACCCGCTCGTATTTCTTCTGTATATATAAACCTGACATAAAATAAAGTGCTGCACGTTCGACTCGATTACAATGCAAGATCTAAACAAAGAAAGCGAATTTAACTTGAGTTCAACTTATATATTACGACGTAAGTTTATTCTAGATTTGAATCGATGTGGACGTCCCGAACAATTTTCAACAAGTTAATAAATTGCTCATCTATTTTCATGCACACAGAACTTTCTAATTATCCATTGATGCTTGTCTATTTATTTTATTTACATTTTTGTCTCTGCCTTTTTGTGCTTCTCCGTTATTCTATCTGCGCGTTACTTGCAGTGCGTTGTTCATCATGTGTGTTCCTGTTCTGTAGTGCGCCGTCTCGAACTTCTCCAGCAATTTTAGGCAGACGAATCAAAGGACTCGAAAAAGATACGCTTATAATCATAGCACAACGAAGGTGTCGAAGAAAATAACTTCTACGACGAGTTGTTAAATCAGCACGATTCTACTGAGTTGGCAGTGTTAATAGGACAGCTACGTCCTATTCCGATTGCTCATCTCGCGCACTACACGACCATCTCAACGGCGTTCTTATCCGCTTTTAGATTGTCTCTCGTTCCTCTTTTGTCTTCCCGTTCTTCCGGGATTTCTTGTTGTGTCCTCAAGTCGTTGTCCAGGGCCGTAACAGGTGGCTGGTGGCTGCTGTCGCGCAGCTGGTGGTGGTCGACCAGATGGAGCAGCATCAGCAGTCGCCCCAACAGACCCTCCCCTTACCCCTGTCCCTAACCCACGTGAACGCGTTGTCTACGTCGGGCTCGAGCTCTTCTGACGCCCTGCTCGTAGCAGCCGCTGCCGCCGCCGCCGCTGCAGCGTCCGCGCCATCGGTGCTCCAGCACTCCGACCTGTCGAACGGATCCAACGCCGGCCCCGAGTCGATCAGGTAAGTCTACGTAACAGCAAATGAAGTAGGCCAGTACGGATCAACGTGGAATTGAGACATTGCGTCACTTAGCTATTAGACAAGCAAAGAACAACAGGTACGGTTAAGATACAAATAAGTGAACAAAAATTATTGAACTGGAAACAAAAATATTTAGTTGAGCAGGGATAGATGTAATATAATGAAGATAAGTAAATAATGCCGGCTATAAAGAAACGTATTTTGTGCTGTCAGCTACAGAAAACCTAGGACAGAATCGTCCGTTTGGTCTATAAACTTCCAATAAGGATAATGCTTCAACTTGCACAGTTCGATTCGTACTACGTATATAACGACACCGCTCTATACTATTAAAATTGGCCGCTTACATTGCGCTGAAGATGAGACATTCGCTTACTCCCATGGTTCTCGTAGGATCCCGCGATAAAGCGACGATGCCGATTGGTCTGATTTCGAAAAGTACGCAACTGGCGAGTAGCTTTATCAGTACTGGTATAACGGTGGCATATGGGCAGCAGGCATACGGGTTTGTATTGCTGGTGTATGTCAGTCCTTCAGCTCTTGAGTCTGTGCTCTGATGAAGAACTGTGTATTTAACAAATGTCGCGGACAAACCGTCATTGGAACACGTATTCCTTTATAAGATCTAGACAAAGCCCTGACGTACAGCCAGCAGTGCGATGGCCCGTCACTACGAAGTTCCCAATAAAGTTTCTATAATCAATTGCCATTTCTACAATAGTTATTTTACATAAATCTGACCAACGGCAACACGAACTCCGAATTTCCCTAATTCGATCGATAAGAAAGGAAGTGCTGACGCAGAACATTTTATGCACAAGCAACAGTTTAACAAGTGGAAGTCGGGTAAGTTTGTGACTAACAAAATTAATCATCAATGACTTATGTCTATCAACCGTCCATGTAGCCACGTCGTAGAATCGGGATACTTTTTACCGCTTTGCTCTGATTGTGTTAGTATCGTGCATTGACGACTTATTTACCTGGTTGTCGTTGTAGTTGGCTCATTCGCACGTCGTCATTGTTGCCGTCTGAAGACGGTAGTGCAAGACTCTATGAGAAGCTAGCGTCAAAGAAGACAAATGGCTTCAGCAATGACAGCAGCAGCAGCAGCTAAGAACGGCGGACGGACAGGGGAGACAGTAGTAGACATCTGCGCCTACGAAAAAACTCACATCGCCATTGCCATCGTTATCACTTTCACTGACACAAACGATAGAGCAACGGGATCGATTTGCTGTCCATTCAGTCGGGCAACAGGCAGGCCCGCTGCACTGCCTGCTCCGGCGGCTTAAACGCCGTCAGGTGATAGCAGCGACGACAGCGGCGATGGCTTGGACGCTGGTCTGCGCATAGTCGCGCAACTGTAGGAGACAAGATGACAAAAATGCCACAAAAATTGCCTGTGGGCGGCGGCCGCCCCAGTTACCACTATCCCGGTTTATGTTGATGCTGCTGCTGCTGCTGCTGCTGCAGGTGCTAGTTCTCGAAGCGGCTACCAGTTTCTTCTTCTTCTTCTTCAGTAGCCATTTCTACTACAACTAGTGTTACTATTCGGTATCTATTTTGACCACTACCAGTAGCAAGGCATCGTTCGCATGTAGCGCCCCCGATTGGCTCTTGGCTGCAATTTTTTTCTCGTCTCACTAGCGTTGTTGTCGTTCGTTTTTTGGGTGGGGACTGAAAGAAACGGAGGGGGAGGCATGGTGGGGTGGGGTAGGGGGGGGGAGGGTGAAAAAACTGCTCTGACAGTCACCAAGTTACCGCGCCGCTTGATTCGGCTCGCGGCGGCCCGGCAGTAGAAATCGAAATAACCAACGCCAAAGCTGTAGGTGTCAGCCGTAGCTTGAATGCCCCACGCCTTTGTGTTTATCGATGGTGTGTCTGCCTCCGGGGCGATCGACAACTCGTCATCGGTGAAGTTCACCTCGTTTTCTTCATTCTTATTGTCGTCGTCGCCGTTGTTAATACCGGTGGTGCTAGTGCTGTTCTATCGCTGTTGACGTTTCGCTGACTTCACCAGGTTGTCCATAAGCATTGAAGCTTTAGCGTCATATAGATTACTACTGATTGGCTTTAGGCTTGACAGCCTTGTGATAGTCTTAATAGTTCGTTTATTATTTGCTTCGCGTGCAGCAGAGATGAGAGACACCTGTTAGATGAACTGGCGTCGGCGATGACGTTTGTTGTGGCTATGGTATACGTAGGATAGCGTTGGTGGTCACCAGCGATTGCTGATCTTCTTCGCTGAAAAAGGAAAAGCGCTGCAATGACGCGTCGCTAAGAGGAGCTCTAGTTGTAGGTGAATGCAACATAGTACTATTGTAGTAAATGCTAGTTTGTCTCTTTCTTCAGCGTCTTCTTGAAACGTTGTAGCAGTCTAGAGCTCCTGGATAATCCGTCAACGGTAGGTAAACAGCTGTGGAGTTCCGTCCAACGCTTTGACAATAACGTTCGCATCTGTGTACATTAGTTTCCATCTGCGGTTGGTCGAATAACGAGGCTATCGTGCCTATCCACCACTTCCATCATTGGAAAGGTTCGGATTACTGCTGGCTAGCTCATTATCGCTTCTACTATGCTCTTTAAGGAAAGAGAACCATTGAGAAAGCCAGGCGAAAGTGGACGCACACAACAGCAACAGCGAACGTCAGGCGGCAACCGGCAACCAAACGGAATGTTGCGTCACGCAGAAGATTGAGCCGATCGAACCTATGCCACCGAAAACGATCCCGTCACCCACCGGTGCCATCGCCATTGCTACTGCTACTGCTTTTACTGGCTTACCATCAGTATCAGCACCGACACGCAGTCCAGCAGTGGCATTGTTAGACACCGACACAAAAAATAGTCACTAGAGCTATTACTACTGGATGTAAGAACATCGTCAGTAACAACAACGTTAACGAAGACAACAACACCAGCTAACGGCACAACAAACGGAGACCCATGTGAAACAAGTGGAAAAGGAGGAGGAGAGGGCGCCGGCGTGGCCTGTCTGTCCCGTTGTTGTCTTCGTCGACGTTGTTGGTCTGTCATCTATACTCAGTCCATGTGTAGGTACATAGATGAACAAGGGCGGCAGTCGTGTCATCAAGTTGAAATAAAAGATCTCGAAGGCAAACCAAGCTCCAGAACGCAAGCTTTGACGTTTGCATGTTATACTATCGTTTCGTGAGCTCAGGTTGGATTGCCGGCCCGTAGCCGTATGGTCTCGTCAACGGGTCCGGTGGCTCCGTGGTCAACAGAGGCGTCCGATCCCTTTTCGTACACAACACAACCGGAACAGGTTTTTTAGGACGATTATTTTGGTCGCCGTCGCGATTACAACCCACGCTATTGTCACTGGTCGCTGTTTTTTGTCAGCGAGAAGAGGATAGCGGCGGCGGCGGCGACGGCGGTGACGCGGCACTTGGAAAGCATCGGAAATATTAGCCGCTACGCCAGCAGCACGATGGAGCTGTAACAATGCAGTGTCCCACAGTCGATGGTGGCCGATCGGGGTCCGAAATCAATCAAGCTAAACCTAGCGTCCGATTAGCTTTAATGGCGTTCGCGCAGATCAACGAAGTAATCCTCCTAGTTAAAGTAACAACAGCAGTGATAGAAATGATCATTATAGTTATTATGGTACAAGCAGACGTGGTCTATTTGCATCGCACACATTAAAACATTTCATTTTACTACTTTATAGTATGACACACTGGTCAGGCGTAAAATTGGTGGCAATTTCGACGATCAATAGAAAAGACGATAGCAAAAAAAAGTAGGATTATATGGCTCCTGTGTACCTGTTTCGAGATGATTTCAAATAACAGTTACATTATGGGTCCGGGGATGTATGATCTGTGTGCGATGTGTCACAAGTGAGCTGAACGCCAAATCCGAGACTCGGATGTAGACCCCGATTGATAAACGTATATGGCAGTGCATCCTTGTCGACAGATACAGTCCTTGATTGAGGCCTTTAGTCCTTGAATCAAGCGTACTACGATGTCTTCAACGCCGCACCATATTCCGGCTGATGTTAAAGGTATTTGTAGAAAACTACTACGTTACAATACAAAAAAAAATCTATAATTTCCAAGGATAACGGGTCATTCAACTTTCACGCCATGTCAACGATTCCCTTGAGCTGATGATTTCCCGAAGTTCAGTGATACAATGATGCGTGTGGGTGCAAGTTATCTTGCGATAAGTTCGTATGCATTACGATATGTGACAGTTGTAGATCTTAATGAACGAAGACAAAACTTATCTTCTTTCCGCGACCTGCGTAAGATTACTGCTTTTTATCTACAATAATATAGTGTAAATACTCACTTGGCATTAATTTGCCCGAATTAAATTGACATATTCGATCTAAGGGGATTTCAGCGTACTTCGCCGACTCAAATGAAAGTAGTAAATATGGCTATTGTATTTATAGGCGCTTACGAGCTTTTTGCTCAAAAGAGATTTTCTACTGCCAACTTAGCTACGGAGAATGCCGTCACTTCTACGGTAGATCGGCATTTGTGACCCGACAGCACTGTATCCTGAATTTCTAAACATGTCCTATACGTCAAAAATCGACTTGTCTTCACAGGACCTGAGGTCGGTTAGACCGAGCATAACTATACTGTGAGCTTTTCAATTACGTCCTGTCATTTCCTTATACATCGTCTAACTAGTATATATAATGTCGGTTATCTATAAATTGGATAATTTACGATATGATATGCCCGTCAGTCAGATGTAGCAACATTGCTAACTAACCCCTGCAAGCAACAATTTCTTGTAAAAATTTATAGTAGTAATTGCAATAATAATATTATATTATATTATATAATAACGCACCCTCACAGAAGCAGTATCGCTGCCATCCCCACCGCGATAGCCTACCGCCCCCAATCGTCTTTAAAGCCAAGGAGATGTTATATAATGTAAGAAAGATGATAATTATCAAAAAAAATTAAGACAACGATAATCGACGGGTA